CTGAGCTAAATCCCCAGCCCCTCACCCTTGCTTATAAATTGATTATTTGTTCTCTATCAAACAAGGTGACCCAGTGACTGAGATACATTAATAAATGCCGCCGAATCAAAAAGAACTGTGTGTGTTCAGTTTAGCCGCTACACTAAGAGTAGAAATTCCTTCAGGACAGGAACACGATATTTGAATCCGTTTTTTTGAGGGAGGTTCTTGGGACTGATCTAAGGCCTTGTTCATCTAAGCATGTGATCTGCCACTGAGCTACACTCCCAGCCCTGAATCTTTCTCAGTCTATGCACACAGACCTTAGAATTAATAGTTGTGCTGGGCGTGGTGGAGCACGCCTGTAATCCCAGCATTTGGGAGGCTGAGACAGGAGGATGGCTGCGAGTTCAAGGACAGCCATCCAAAAGAATTACGACAGTTTTGAGTTTACACTGGGCATTTTATACATCTTCCTCCTCTTCTTCCTCTTCCTACTTCTCCTTCTCCTCCTCCTGTTTCCTCTTCTTGATTGAATCCAGGCCCTTTGTCCTGAGCTACATCCCCCAGCACTTTTTTTTTAAAATTTGGAGACAGGTCTCAAAGTTTCTCAGGCTGAGTGTGAACTTTTGATCCTCTTGCCTTAGTCTCCCAAGGTCCTGGGCTTCCAGGCATGTGCCACCATGTCTAGCTAATAACTGCTTCATGATGGGTGAATAAATTACAAAGAAAAAAGATTTTTCCCTTAGAAGAAGCATCCTTTTCTAAGTATTTCTCAGGGTAGTAGTAGACCCTATATGATAGAAACACTTGAGAGTCTTGTTAAAAATACAGATTGAAGGGCTTGGGAGGCTGAGGCAGGAGGACTGCAAGTTCCATGTCAGCTTGGGCTACTTAATGAGTTTAAGACCAATTTAGATTACATAGTGAGACCCTGTCTCAGAAAAAAATTACAAGCCGAGCATAGTGGTACACAACTGTAATCTCAGCACTTGGGAGGCTGAGGCAGGAGGATTGCCAGCTCAAGGCCAGCTTGGGCTACATAGTGAGTTTGAGACCAGCCTGAACTGCATAACGAGACCCTGCCTCAAAAAAAAAAAAAAAAAAATCATAGATTGGGCAGGGGTGGGTATAGCTTAGTGGTAGAGTATGTGCTTGACATGCAAAGGCCCTGAGTTTGGTTCCCATCATAGCCCAAAATAACAATAATAACAATATTAATAATATAGGTTACTTAGACTTACTGAGATTGGAATATGGAGGGGCACACAGACACCAGAAATATGCACTTTTGACATGTGCCTCTGGTGATCTTGGGTTTCTCATATAAAAGAAAGCATGCAATATTTAAGCTTGTGTGTCTGATTTATTTCACTTAATATAATGTTCTAGAGGTACATCCATTTTCCTCCAAATGCCTCAAATTTCTCTTTCTTGTGGCAGAGTGTCACAGGTGTTAGGGTGCTGGAGTCTCCTTCTGGAGGTGGTTTCCACGTTCTTCTCCATCTCGAACAAAGAGTTGAATGAAACAAGGAGCATGGTGGCAAAGCTTCACATTTATTTGAGGTAGGAAAAATAAAATGAAGGGTAAGGAAGAAACTGGCTCTGCAGAGTGAACTCGGACCGAGTGAAAGGGAGGAAAAATAAAAGCCAACATAGAAGTACGCCCTGGGGACCCGGGGCGGGCTCCCAGGAGAAAGCCACAAGAGTGTCTTTCAGTGCCGTCCTCCCCTTAGGCCTCACAGACATCATGGGAGCCCACAGCAGTCTGCACACATTGGGGGTCCTGAGAATGACTTGGTGTGTTTGTCCTGGGATCTGGTCACCCTTATTCCCCTCAACCACACCCTGCCTTCCTGCCTCCAGAGCAGTACTCCATTGTGTATAGTTCCCACATTTTCTTTATCCGTTCCTCTGTTGATGGATTTATAGGCTTCTTCCAAGATTTAGCTATTGTGAGTTGTGCTGCTATAAACATGGATATGCATGTGTCACCAGTACAGCTCAAAACAATGAGGCTGAGGGAGTTGCTCCCTTGCCTCCATGCAATTCTAAACAGCACCCTGCTCTTCTTCCAGCTTCCACTGTCCTAAGAGAGGTAGAAAATGAAATAACAGAAACCCAGGAGATCGCCGATGATCTAGGTGAGAGTGCATGAGTGTTGGATCTCCTAGCCTGATAATGCTTTCACCTATGCATTGCCTACCCCCACCTCAGTACAAGTTTATACGTACGTACCACCTGTCATAGATATAATTAAGATCAGAGGGAGTTCTGGGACAAGAGTGCGTGTAGGAGCCCTCACTCCGTCAGTCACTCCGTCAGTCACTCCTAGAGGTTCAGGGGAGGTACCTGGCCTTTAAATTCCAAAAGCTGTGCTTTCTGGTGCTGTGGCTACTTTCATGCCCTCTGTCCTGTTTTCAGTGCTTCTCTGTCACCCCGGTACCTGCTTCTGTCTGTCTTAGGTCAGCGCAGACTTGCCCTGAGCACAGCTTCCCGTGACCTTCAGTAAACGTAGCTGCTTGCGACCCGCTCCTGGGTGCGCACGCGGCAGCTCTTTCTTCGGCCTACGCAAGAGCCTGCGTTCCATCAGCCCGTTCTGCTGCAGAGCCCTGCGGTGCGAATGTTTAACACCTTTTGGGAAGATACACAGAAGGGGCGTAGCTGGGTCAAATGAATTTCTAGTTTTAGTTTCCTGAGGCCTCTCCCTTCTGATCCTACAGAGGTGGCCCTAGCTTACATTCCGCCTGCGGTGCAGAAGGGTCCTCTTCCCCACAGCCCCGCCGCACTTGTTCCTGTTTGAGTCTTGACGATGGCCACTTTTTCTGGGGTGAGACAGAATCTCGGTGTGGCTTTAATTTGTGTTTCTCTAATGGTCAGCAATGTGGAACATTCCTTCATGTATTTATTGGCCATCTGTACTTCTGAGAAGTGTCTGTTCATTTTGGATGCCCATGTTTTGATTGGGTCTTTTATTTGGGGGGTATAACTTTTTTAAGTTCTTTATATATTCCAGACGTTATTCCTCCGTCCGAGGAGTAGCTGGCACACACTTTTTCCCATTCTGTGCGTTGTGTCTTCACTCTGTTGTTTCCTTTGCTGTGCAGAAGGTTTTTAACCTGGCGTGAACCCACTTGTTGCTCTGTTCTGTCTTTTCTGCTTTCCTCGTGTAGAGAAGCAGATGCGGCAGGTCAGGATATTGCCTTATTACAGGGTGAAACTGCACGCAGAATGCTCATTACCCTATGCTGCTGAGCCCCGGTCCGGCTCAGGCTTCTGAGCAGCTACCCCACAATTACAAAGCACGGAAAAGGGCAGAGGTTCAAGGGAGCCTCAGAGGGGCTCTCACTCTGCAGAAAGAGTTTGGGTGGCTACGGAGGATAACAAAACATAGAGCCTGTTGTAGCACTAATCTTGGCCAAGTCATCTCCTATCCTGGCTCTGCGGAAGGTGTGGTAATTCTAGGGCCTCTTCTTCCTTCCTGCTCTGGTCTCTGGGAGGACTGCTGGCCTCTGATAGATGGAAAACAACCCCAAGACCAAACCAGAGAGCTCCTAACTCCCTATTTCTCATCCCTTGTGGCAACTGACCAGATAGGAATAATTGGCTCTCGTGGAGAATGGTGGTATACACCTATGATCCCAGCACTCAGGAGGAGGCTGAGGCAGGAGGATCATAAATTCGAGCCCATCCTGGGCAATTTAGAGACTTGCAATACCCTATCTCTAAATAAAAAAACAAAAAGAGGGCTGGGGATGCAGCTCAGTATGAAGGCCCTGCATTCAGTCCCCAGTACTGCAAAAACAAAAGGCTTCCGTGAAGCTGGATGCAGTGGCACATGCCTGTAACCCCAGCTACAAGCGGATTGCAAGTTTAAGGCCAGCTTGACAACTTAGAAAGATCTTGTTTCAAAATAAAATATTAGAAAGGAGTGAGGATGTAGCTCAGTAGTAGAGTACCCCTGGGTTCTATGACCAGTACTGGGAAAAAAAATTACACATCTTACTATGTCATTTATGAGAAGCTACTTAAGGTTAGAACTTGTTTTACCCTACTTTAAAAAAGGAATTTAAAATAGAAAGCTGGGCGTGGTGGCGCATGCCTGTAGGCCCAGCACTCGGGAGGCTGAGGCAGGAGGATTGTTGTGAGTTTCGAGGCCAACCTGGGCTACAAAGTGAGCTTAAGGCCAGCCTGAACTGCATAGTGAGACCCTGTCTCAAAAAAAAAAAAAAAAAAAAAAAAAACCTCCTTAAATTTTATAAAGAAGGACTTATTCAAGGTCAAACAGTTTATAATTAGCTGACCTAGGAATAAAACTTGGTGATTTGGTAGGGGCTGAAATTGGAGAATTTCCTAAATTTGTCTTGAAAGACCCCGAATTTAAATAATACTTTATTTTTGGTATGATTTTCTGTCAGTCTAGCGAACTAAAGACACAGAGTAGCCGGGCGTGGTAGCACAAGCCTATGATCCCAGGCCTCCGAAGGCCGATGCAGGAGGATTGCTTTGAGTTCGAGGCCAGCCTGGGCTACAAAGTTAAGTTTAAGGCCAACCTGAACTGCATAATGAAACCCTGCCTCAAAAAAGAGACAGAGTATTAGTTTATCACATTTATCTAATGAGACTGTAGTAGAAGCTTTACTGTTAAACGTAAGACATACAGTGCAGATGTGTCAGTGCACACCTGTGATCCTAGTACTCTGGAGGCTGACACAGGAGGCTCTCCATGAATTCAAGGCCAGCCTGAGCTACAATAGTGAGCTCAA